TAGGAGTAATAAGAAGGGCAATGAGTCAAATACTGAACGCAAGAGAAATTTTCAAATTAAGTATAATATAAAATTTAAAATTTAATATACAGACGTTTCGACTCCGATCGGGTCATCTTCAATGTAACAAAAATAAATTATAAAATTTCGGTGTCGCTAATAAATAAATATAATGTCAGGAAATTATTTGCGTCTTGAAATTGTAGTCCATCATGTAAAAGTTAATCCAATAACAGTAAATTCAATCTAATAAAATTTATATAATTTGTTAAAGAATCTTAAATAACATGTTAAACAAGTGTTAAAATCTTTTAAGGTAACTATCTAGTTACCTTGTTAAAAATTGTGTAATAACTAATGTTAATAATGTAAAATTCCATAATGTAAAAAATGTAATATCGTCAATGATAAAATATTATAACAATTCAGATTTAAAATAATCCAATTTACAGCTTTATCGACTTCTTATGTTAATGTCAAGAAACGCAGTGAAGAAGCAAATTATTTAAAAGAGGCAAAAACAAATAAAAACAGTCTAAGAGGTAGAGAAGGACTGTATCATGTTCGTATGCATATCGGGCAATGACTCCGTATCGTTTTGTTTATTTATGCCATGTGTCTGATTTTTAATATAAACCATCTCGGATATCAACCTCTTTTTGTAGGAAGGTTCCACATCTAATATTTCCACATTATTCCAATTAAAATTATGATTATTGTCTATTCGATGGTTAGTAATGATTGATGGAGACTTTGAGTTTTTATTGATATCCGAAATGTGTTCATTGAGTCTAGTTTTTAATTGCCTCTTAGTCTGTCTAACATAACTTGCATCACAATCATTACATGATATTTTATATACAACATTACGATTTTGCGTATGTTCCAGTTTGTCTTTTCCTCTCTTAATATAGCTTTTAAGTGTATTCGGAATAGTGTACGCGAATTCGCAGTTGACAGAATTAGCAATAGGTGTAAATTTTTCTGAAATTGATTTTACAAAAGGAGCAGTAAAAACTTTTCGAGACCAACATTTTTATTAACGGAATTTGTGTTGCTTAAGTGAAATTTTAATCTACTATTAACGATCGAAAAAATAAAATCAAGGGGGTATCCATTTTTTTTAAAATTATTAATCGCGTCAATCAAATTGTTCCGTTGAAACCTAGGATGATAATAAAGAATTATCAATCGAAAAAATAAAATCAAGGGGGTATCCATTTTTTTAAAAATTATTAATCGCGTCAATCAAATTGTTCCGTTGAAACCTAGGATGATAATAAAGAATTATCTTATTTGTGATTTACATATTTTCTAAAGTTTTGTTGTATTATTAGCATTGAGAATGACCCAATCGGTGTCGAAACATTTGTATATATATTTTTTTTAATTCTACATGTTTATATATTAAATGTTTTTGTCTGTACATAACTAACTCTTAAGCCCATTCTACGATTGCGTAAGCGTAGTTGTAAATGACTGTAGTTGTACGAATTAACCAACCACAGTCAAATACGGAAAAATGTTCGACTGTGATTAGTCAATTCTTACAACTATAGCCACTTACAACTACGTTTACGCGATTGTAGAATGGACTTTAGCCTTTCAACTTATTACATTCATTTTATTCTTGTAGAGCCTTATTACTAATTATTATTAAATTAAAAAAGATGTAAAAACAATTTAAAACAATCAATTTTAAAGCGTATAAAAAGATGTCATTATGTACATTTTGGATACTTAAAAAGTCTCATTGTTAATTTTATTAAAATCTATTTACTAAACACTCTCTTATAAATGTCGATTTTGATTACAACAAAGGAAGCGCAAAAGATGTTGATTTCGAACAGATGCAGCTGCAACACCAGTTTCCCGAAACGCGTGCCGGGGCTGTGAGCTCGTGATGATTGACAGGTTGGATTGGTGAACTTGCCGAACAAGATATTACATGTGTTATCGCGAGCGCTACCGGCTGACAATAGATCAAAAGCGAGAGTATGCGTGCGGCGCCGAGTACTTGCTGCGACTCCAATATACGAGCCTGTCAAACTTTATGACGGGGGATTTCGATACTTGATGAATGAACGCGTGCCCGTCCCTTTCGAATGTCACACTTCAGGAGCCCGCTGGCTTCCTGTCGCCGAACTTGCGTTGTGAATATGCGAGCGTTTATTGATGCGAAATTTGTCGATCGTACGAACACAATTGCGCTGGAAAATTTTGCTATTCTCCAAAGCTGTCCTATTGAACAAATTTCCTCGGAAGGATCATGCGATAATGAAAGGGATGACATTTTGAAATTCCACTACTATACAAAACAGTTAAGGATAAACTTGATTCAAGCAGACCTGTTTGCAATAATGAAATACTTGAGATGCCAAAAATGAAAGATTAAAATATTTAGTACATCATAGTCAAATGAACGCATAGAACAAATTTAAACGTTAATCAATATATTTCCGTAAACAATTGATATATGACAGTATTTAATATTCTAGAGAGAAACAACAGTAACAACATAATAAAATAAAAATAATAATGTGATGAATTTGATAGTCATGTATACAATATTAATAATCTTTTACCTTTGTTACGATAGTTTGTATTTCTTTACGGTGAATGCAAAAAGTATTGCGTTTATTCAATAGAACGATTTCAGGATCCCCTTAATTAGTAATTTTACACAATGAAATATTTCGTGTTAATATAAACGAAAGAGCTTTTTGTGTTTCTGATCTTAGAAGATAAATTTTTCGACTGTACAAATATTTGTGCAGGAGAGTAACATTTAACAAAAATTTTAATTTTAAAAAGTAAATAATATTTAGAAATTTATAATATCAACAATGAACAAAGTAGACTATATATTTCTTAAAATTATTTTACTTGAAGAGATGTACAACAATTAGAACATATTATCAAACAAGAGAAAATAAAAAATAGCATTATTTGAACGCTTATAAAATATTTGTACAGTCGAAAAATTTATCTTCTAAGATCAGAAACACAAAAAGCTCTTTCGTTTATATTAACACGGAATATTTCATTATGTAAAATTACTAATTAAGGGGATCCTGAAATCGTTCTATTGAATAAACGCAATAATTTTTGTATACGACAATTACTTTTACTCTTTTACAGATTCAAAAATCCTTTTCTAGGATTAAAGTATACCCATTAATACGTGTCTGTGAGATGGAATTTATATCGATAAAAAAATTTTTAAATTGAGATCTTTACCATTTTTTAGTCCAATATGGTATTATATAGAGCTGGCATATCGTGAGAATATTTGCTTCATATAAAAACTGTGCAATCTATACTTACGAAATAGTAGTCCACAGACTAGTAATTTGCACGAAAAAGCAACGTAGAGTTCTTAGAATTAGACTTACAATTAGACGTTTAATTAGAACGTTATTTGGCATTGTCTCATTCGATTTAAAACGTTATTGTTATATAAAAATTTTTGTGTACATGTGCACGTGATATTAATCATAGTAGTAACATGTAGTGATGTGTCAGTGACACCATAAATCGTCTGTGTGTATAAGTCATACTTATACTACGATTAATCGTCTGTAAGATCCTATTAATATTTATTTACTATAGATAAGGCTCTTTTATTATAGTAAAAATTTAATCTACGAATATTTTTTGCACTTACTGTATACATTTCAACATTGTTATTTATGTCGTAGTAAAATCCGAGGTGAAATCAAAACATTGGATTTACTGAAATATATGCCAGTTAATGTGTAATTGCGTATTCGGTCAAATAAGCTTGTTTAAAACTGGAGAGAGAGAGGTATTGGGAATTTTTCGTCCAAAATGAATATCATGCAAATCCAGTTGTTGCGCTCTATCTAATCGAAAACAAGCGGTTAACCGTGAACTTTGATCGAATCGCATGATGTAGTAGACACGAAAATGTAGTATTACAAGAATGTCGACATGGAAATGTTTATACACCGGTACTTGGAGATTTTTCCGCATGCAATAGTTCTTGAACGTGTATATGTGCACGCGACGTTTATCGAAGGGCGTGCACATGACGCAGCAACCCGATTTAACTCGCGCGTGCTTCCTCGACGTAAAGAAAAAAGAACAGGAAGTATGAAGAAGAGAAAAATCCGACTATACCGAGTAGACGGTATATCGAGTTACGTGGCACAAGAAACGCTGTGTAATTTATGCAAATAAATAAAAAAAAAGTCATTAATTCTGTTCTCGATTCTATCCAGTAATAACTTCAATGCTCCACGGCAATAAAGAAGATATTGCCTGTTCAATAATATTAAGGTAATACGACGGATAAAATATAGCAGTTTAGTATTTTCGTTATTCGGTTAGTTCATAAGCGAATTACATTGTAACGTGGAACGCGTAAACTGTCGAGAACTTACCTCTGACTTTGTTTATCGAGTGAGTCTGGCTTGCATGCAGCATATCGTGTTTGCGGAATAGAAATTAATTGATATTTAAAGCAATAAACTTCCAATTTAAACATCTTGCAGTTTGTCGTACAAATGCTAACACGATGTAATTTGTATCATATTGTTCTACTGCTCTTATGAAAGCAGTGACTATAGAATAGAAAGGAAATATATTTGATAAAATCAAATCAAATCTAAAAGTCTCAAAATAAATAACTGTTATATATTTGTCACATTTGTAATAATGAAAACTCGTTGCGTAATCTCTGGTTGGTTTTAAAATTTAACAAATTATCGCGTCATGTAGGATCGGCTTGGCAGATAATGGCTAATATATGGAGGTACCCAGTGTCATTATGTGTTATCTGAAAATAAATAATGTGATGTCAAGGGCGATCTGAAAATTTCAACCGCGGATATTCAGACGTTTCCGTCGCGATATGTCATTAAGACAGCTTTGAGTATCCAAATATCCGGGTTGTCAAGTATGTCACGTGAGGCGAGGGATGATGGGCTGCCGGATAAGTTTGCGTCAGAAAAAAAATGAAATAGAAATTCGCTTACCATTCAGCACGTGGACCATTACGCTCGCTGGATTCGCGTTGCTAGGGACGCAGGTGTAATTTCCGCTGTCGGACAATCTGGCTTGTGTCACCAGTAGTCTGCTTGTCGTCCCGGTATCCGTTTTCTCCGTCTCCAGGGAAATGCCGCCCCTGCGGTGTACACTGAATTATCGTAGATACTTTGGCGCCATTCTCGTCATACACATTGCTACTTTGTCATTAATTCTCTCTGCGGGGAAGGGGCCGCAGCTAACATAACATTGGCAAAAAGCGCAATCATATATGGAACAGAAATGGTATTGCGAACTCGTTCGTATCGCACGTTGTCAAACGTCCGTTGATAAATGTGCACAAATAAACGTAAAAAGTTTAGTCGCATCAGATATAATTCATAAAAATGACGTATGACGTACACTGTAAAACGGTACGTAAAGTTATATTGTGTAAAAATTATATAGTTTATATATATTAGAAATATATAAAATTCCATATTTTTGCAAATACTTAGTATTTTTATTTGTATAAATATATTTTTATTTAAGACGAAAATTATAATAACAATATATTTTATAGTTTCTATGTAAATGTATAAATTTTTAAATGTTATATAACATAATAATAATATACTATATTACACGTATTATATTTCCATTTTTCGTTCATAATATTAATGACATTGCTTTAGAAAAAAATTGCAATTGTAATTTGTTCCCAAATTAATAAATTTTTAAATTTAATTTTAATTATAATTTACTTTTGCACGAATTGTTTAATTAATATAGAGAAGAATAATTTTATTTATAAGATGTGACTTTACGTGTATATGTAACACATATACTTTTGATAAAATTATCTACTATAAAATTATCTAATATAATTTTTGTAATTTTATATGTAATTAATTTTTTTATAATGTATATTAAAAACGATTGCAAAATATGACATTTTTAACATGTACCTAATATTATATTATTCTTTGATATTGTAAGTGGCACATTTTTTTCTGTAGAGAGAAAAAGTAGAGAATAAACTACCTTTACATTTCTTCGTATGAAGCGTTATCTGAACTAATTCCGGACAAAATTGCCGGATCAAGGGTCATTTGTTTTTTCGACTCTTGACGATCCTTCCCCGAGTTGACGGGATTGACGAAAAGATTAAAGGCGGGGTACTCTAACGCTTTCCGCCCGATCGGCGATACCGCAAAGTAGCGACCCGAAAAACTCGACCGAAGCCTTCCTGCTCATTTACCGAAACGGAGGAACTTACGAACCACACATCGCCAAGATCTCCACCAGTTATGCGATAATAGCAGTGACATTTGCGAGCGAATGGAAACGTTTATGTATATGTATATACAAAATGTATGTATACCATATACGTATGTAGGCAAAGGGTAGAAGAATTATAAGGCAAATGTAAGACTCAATCAGCATACAATGATTTTAAAAATATTTGTTTATTTAAAAAACCGTTTAAATTCTCATTTTTAAATAAAACAAAATATGTTTTATTTCATTTTAAAGAGAGTTTGAAGAAACCATTTTTTAAAAACATTATTTTATTTTAAAGTTTAAAAAAACGTTTTTTTAACGTTTGAGTGAAGAACAAGTTTTGAGAATAAAAAGAAAGGTTAAACCTTGTCGTGTCAGTAAGCTGCGGAAACTGTCAAAATACTTTATTTATTTCTATTGAGTTATCTATGATCCAAATTTGAGGTAATTTTGAAGATATTGTTTTAATACCACTTCATTTTTAAAACATGAGTACAAAATATATTGCTGCGCCTTTCTATATGGTATGTGGTTTTTCCTTACAAATTATAGCTATTTAGCGGTGTACTCTTGTGTACTGCTCAGTAAATAATTTATGTAAAATAAATATAAAATTAATGTTAAATAAATGTTTTCCGAATCATTATATTGTAATTAAATAAGTAATGCAATATAAATATTAAATAAGCGTTGAATAAATATTTTTGAGTTATTATTTCAAATGAATAGTTAATGTAAAATAAATATTTAATAAATGTTAAGTAAACGTTTTCTCTAAATGATTATTTCAAGTAAAAAATGAATAGAAAATAATAATCACATATAACAAATTATTTTAACAATAAAACATACAATTTATATAATTAATGAAAAATAAATATTTTAAAAACATCGTCTGCTGATTGAGAAGAATTAAGCTGAGAAACTCGATTCTTGCAATTTATACCTGGGACTGTCAAAATCTAGCACGGCCCCTCCTTGATACCAAGTAACGCTACTGGGAGGTGTACTTCGCACATTTACTTCGCACGTGAGGCTTATCGTGCTACCCTTCTTTACGTAGACGTCTTCCGGCCCCAGGATCGTCGCCTGAGCAGCTGTAACACATGTTAGAAACCGCATACGCTTAAATATTCCATATTTATCTGTGCTAAATGACAGGTTGCGTTTGGTATGGAAACATCAAATCGTGCTTTTAATTATATTCATTTGCTTTGCATGGCCCAAAATTTTACACAAGCGGGGTATCTTTCTGCTTATTTTACTAATATAAAATTTTAAGTAATTAAACGATCTTAATAGACTTGAAACTGATACTATTAACACGGCTTTTAAATATTAATACAGTTAGCTTATTATTAAAACTCTTTTTTTCCATGTATTCATATTTCTACATGAAATTGTAAATTGTAATGCAATTTATGTATTTTAGAATATTAACAGTTTTATATTATTGTCAAAGAAAAAATTTGCATCATATTCGTCTTTTTAACTTTTCAGAGTCAACGTGTAATAAACACGTATTTGCAAATTAACATAATTGATATGTTTCGTATTATCCACAAACAGAAAGAAAATAATTGCATTGACATCAATTTAATTAGAATATCAGATCTCATTCAGATGAAATCTTCTGCTAGTTTATTAGTCAGATATTGTTAAATATTAATTAATATAATTTATTTAATATTAGCAATTCCATCTAGGTAAAATTCATCCTTTTTACGAGTTGAAAAATATTGCCGATTAAATAAATAGATATAAGCAACGCATCTTTGCATATGCCAAACTTCTTGTTTAGAAAATTTTAATTACACAATCGACGACTTAAAATTTAATAATTTTAATAATTATTTGATGATTCCAACCTTATAGCATAATTCATAAATGATAAAATAAAGAAATCTCTCATTGACTTTTGCACAATAATAAATTAAAATAAATTAATATGTAAAAATGTTTATCTATCATTTCAAATCAGTAAGATAATAATCTAGGATATACAAGGAAAAAAAGATATGCATAAAAATAATAATATACATGTAATACATTAAAATTTGTTATTATTAATAAAAATTTTCGCACAACAAGAAAATGCGCATATCTTTCTGTTAATAGTTCAGTACTTACTTATTACTCAAATCATTGCTGCAGTTAAAAGAATTATATAAAATACACATAAAAACATGCAAAGAAAATCATGCACAAAATACTAATTTCAATAAGAGATAATCAAACATTTTCCAATTTATAGGGGTACAAAAGTTTTGTACCAATAAACTATCACTAATAACCGCAATCTACAAATCTAAATAAGTTGAGGCCGTACGAATATTGCCCGGAAAATGTTCTCATTACGCTTGCATTGGGTTCTCAACATTTCAAAAAAGGTTTTCGCACGCGGTTCCACTGAACATTTAACGCATAGTATATTTACGACTCGCAATATTACAGCGGAAAATTAGCACGCGTTAGCGTCAGCTGTATCTGTGTAAAAAAAATATTTGCCCGACAGTTCCGAGCGTAACAACACCTAAATGAAGAGCAGAGTGCTGCCCGTGTTTTACCTTCCTCATGCTACGACCTCAACTCATTGGTGAACGGAAACCGTCGGTGGCGGCTTGGCCATAAATATACAAAAAACGTTCATGCATTGTTACTGCACGTAACTAAATTGCGAATAACACTTCTAGCAGCTAGCAAATTCAATAGCTTGGAAAAGGAGTCTGCTCTCTGCGTGAGTCTAACCTGAGTTGAACGTCCGGTGAATGGCGTTTGGTGTGGTGATGGCAGGGACAGGGGCACTTTCTGGAATGGGAGGACAGAAAAGATATCGAGTTAATCGATTTCGTCAATACCTATTGCTTCGGGGGTTAGGAATTGAACTAATGTTGAAAGCACTATCAGTATACATATATGGATCACGTATGCCTGTATATAAAATATCGAATATAAAGAATATTTCTCAATGTCAGTTCTATCAAAGAATATTCCTCAAAGTAAGTTTCTGTTTCTTTTACCGTTCATTTTTATTCATGTAAGTCAAGACAGTGGAGATTCTTTAATCAAATTTATATTAAATCGTTTAACCTATTATAATGAAATTAAACTGTAACGAGATTCAATGAATTCCTATTTAAAATCTCTCGGATCCAAGCAATAACCGAATTATTAAACTAAATTAATTGATGAGCAAATAAAATTACATGTGTTATTATTTTTCAACATCTTTTGAATATTTGAATGTTCTGTAGATATAATATTAATATTTATACAATGGAATCTGTAATTTATCTTATTCCCAGAAAACGTGTCGAAATGAATCCTCTTGTCAGAGAAATTTTTAATTGTTAAAATATTTTATAAGTTTTGTATTGAGCGATTATATATACATTCATATATATATAGGTGCTTTACATATTGAAAGACGAAATCGATACTGTGCGCTGGTAATAATTAAAGTAACTGCAATATTATGCCATCACTCGATCAGAGAAATAGATGCAACAAAGCTAATCGATACTTTAGGATGTTCCTCACGTGACAGACATGCAAGCGGAAGCATTAATCACTTTGGTCATGCTGGTGCGTATTCGAGTTATCCAGCAGTGTCATTCCTGATCAATCAGGTGATAGACACTTATATGAAAGCGTTCAGATATTCTTTCACCTATCGTAAAATTACGTAAAATATATTTACAACGGTATAGAGTTATTACGGGATCTAGCTTAACCCTTTTACAGTTTTTCGCTCATCTTAATTAAAATAAATTAAAGCTTATGTAGGTTATGAATTTAATACATTTTGTGTAATAAAATAAATTATAATATAATATACCTATATATTCAAATTTATAAGATATGTATATATTGTAAATATATTATGCACACTACATAACGTCAGAAAAATTAAAAGTTTACAAATCTATATTTAGTGCATTTTAATATATACTTAAGTATAATTGAGTTTTCTTTTCTCTGTTCTCTCTCTTTTTCTCTTTGTCTTCCCTTGTCTCGTGATAAAATTTGTTTGGAAAGTGTATACTTTTTTCAAATTATAAGCGATCCGTAAAAGGGTTATCTGACGACATTCTAAAGACTTTACGACCTTGATTTTACCTTCGACTTTTAACATGAAGGCTAAGTTCATTTTTGGCTCGGTGTTAACCTGGCATTCATAAATCCCAGCGTCCCGTGGTTGGATGTATTCGATCCTCAGCGTCCATTCGTCGGATGATTCGGGATGCTTAACGGAAAATCTTGCGTCCCCCGTGTAAGCGAAGGTCGATGACGTCAGGATATGCAAATCCCTCTTACGTATCCAGGAGATCTACAAGCAAAGTGAATGCTCGATTAGACTCCATCTGCTCGAGTTCCGACCATCGATTTGCCTACTTGAATAATTGATGCGATTATTGTAATTGCACTCCCATTGTTTTAGGAAAATATTATTATATTGAAGTTGCAACAAGTTTAATTTAATGTCAAAAAAGGCTATAAGTAAACACCTTTTAAGAAAAAATGTTTAACTTATATATATTTTTAAAATTCGATAAAATTTTTCTGTTATACACAATTCAATTTTAATCGAAGATTAAATCTTCCACTATTACATTAGATATTTTTGGGAAATATGTTTTATGTAATCGAAATAGAGTGGCAAGAGAAGACCGATCGGATCTAGTCTCCCTCAATTCATCAGACGACGGCAATTAGTCGATAGCACGATTAATCGACTCTCGGTTAATCAGCATCCAACTATCCATTTATTTGATCAATTATGTCGTCCGTCATTAACTCCTGATACTGCTGTCCGAGTCGGTTTAAAAAGCGACGTCCATTTCCGTCAGTTTAACTGTCAGTTTGTCGTTGTAGAAAATATTTCAAATTTAACAATAACTTTCGTGCGACCGCATAGGCATATAATGCGTGGACGGTTTGTCCGCCCATTGTTATAATGCTTCCTGCACAAACACGCGTAATGTGTAACATTTCGTCCGCGCAAATGTTAAATATTGTCGGTCCGTGTTGCAATAAATATTCCGTTCGATCGATTCCATCGTCAATTGTTGATCGATCAAGCACGCTGCCTGTGATAATAACAGAATTACCACACCGTTACATCAAAATTGCAGTGTAATCTGAAATTTGTCGCAGCTTGGCGCATACATGTCAGCGTGTATGGCATTACAAATGAGGTATTACATTTTCGTGGTTTACAACACCGCCTATTAAGCACGATAATAAACGGTTTCCGCGGTTTAACCTTTCGGATTTTGTGGATTATCACGCTATAATTATCGTGGTAATATCAAAAGATATGAGCTGTATATATTTCAGATATTATGCTAAGATTTAAATTGCTCTATTAAGAGAGTTTTAATTTTATAAGCAAATCTAGTATTTTCTATTTTCATTAGAAACAAATAAAATTTTTCAATTTTGTAACTGTCTCCATTCGTCTCTAGCATATCGAATAAAAATGTATAATACTATCGCATACATAAATTGCTGAACGATTTCAATCTTTATTTCATTCAATTGTAAATTATACGGCGCATTCCTCTTAAAGTGATGCCATATATGAGTTTAATATAAAATAAAGGTTCCCCAATCCGAAGTAAATTTTGTCAGACGATTGTGGCGAATCATTTTATTGAATTGCTCGAATCCCTCCAAACGTTTCTAGTCGACGCAACATTGGTACTGTTTAATCGATAGCAATGGCACACGTATAACGGTCGGATTGGAAAAACGTATTAGGTCTCCCCAGGCTCACAGGGGTAGTATTTGAGACAGCCGTTAAAGGTTGTCTCCGAGCCACCCCAACAATTATAGAAGTACGTGCCTTTGACTAGCACACCTACAAGACATCCTCGGCGTCTCTCTCGACTCGCTATTGGACTTCCTTAGCAACGACGGATCGTTAAACGTATATGTTCTTTCCGAACAGAAGATGCTCTCTTCACCGCTTTTATTAATTATTCCCCATCGCATCTTTTTGGAAATCGCCTTGATTTTAAAATGACATGATCCTTTCGCGCGAGACATTGGATAGAGTTTGTGAAATTCTGGATATTAAGCGGTTGATAAAGGGTCGGTCTTTTGATCCAACATGCTATAAATGTATATATATATATGTATAAATATATATATATATATATATAAGAATCGAACTTATCCTATTTTCTATTATTGCTCTTGGGCCGTTCTGGAATCTATTGCTTGGAAAAGGAGATATTTCACAATTTTACTATCCATCGCGCCAATTCTTCACAAAATATTCTGATATAAAATGTATGTCTGTAAGATACAGAAATATTATCAGATAATACCTTATCTCTTTCATTAAATACATATATCTATCTATAAAATATGTGTACATGTAAGATACACGTTTTATTTCAATTGAAATAACACTCTAAATATTTCCTATTTGTAATAAAAACTGTATTTACGTAATGTATAATTTAAAAAAGTTGTTAGATAAGTGCTGCAAATGTAGCATTTCGTAACTATCCTAAAAAGTATAGTTGATTAATTATTGCTTTTTTGTAATTAATAGATTTTATTTTCGATTAATTTATTGTATATATAAAATATAAAATTTATAATTATGTGACACTCTATAGATCACAAAGTAGCGAACATAAGATATCGATGGGTAAGTCTCTCAAAGAATATTTTAAATTAGAAATTATAAAATATATCTTGTCTACATAAATTATCAATTAGTATATCAATAATATTAAATTCTAATATTTTTAGATCTAAGAAATTTCTAAGTTTAAGAATGTTGTAATGAAAATTATTTAAAATTCCGACGAAAACTGATCGTAATTTTTCCGTTTAAAAAACAGAAAGCAAGAAATCGGAGGCTCATAAGTATGAATTTAAAAAACACTCACACATGCCTGTACATTTATTTTATCTATTCATTTATTTTATCATTCACACCTCTCTCTCTTTCTCTATCTATCTATCTATCTATCTATCCATCTATCTCTCTTGTCTCCTTCATAGTTATTGTTTCACGCCTTTATTATATATCTATTGTGTATTTCACACACAATAGATATATAATAAATAACAATTCAAGGAAAATTAAATATCCTGCAGCTGTTATATTTAACCTTTTGGGATCACAGTCATTTGTAACAAATCCGAACTCTTGTAACTCAGATTCCGAGAGTAAGAATATTACATGTTCGAAGTGTTATCGTTTCACTTTATTATGGCGATTATTATGCCGATATGACAAATGGGTTACTTTCAATATATTAAATTGCTTATGATTGTATTGTTAATAATTTTTAATTAAATATAATACTATATAACTGACTGACCACAACGTGTAGATGTAAGACGCATACACAATTAAATTAAAACGGTAGACGGTGTCGTCTTTTTCTCTTTGTGAGAGATATTAAAGATTTCTAATTATTAGAAAGGTAAAAAAGAAAAAAATATTTTATCAACAATAAAAATGTATATTTTACGTAAAACTATAATATCTTTATAGTGTTTGTTTTACTAAAAAATAAATAATAGTAATAAATTAATAATAAATATTATTTATTATTATAACATATATATTTAATAGATATATTTAATTTGTAAAAAATTTTATATTCAAGTGCTCCATCGTATGCATTCTTGAAAGTTGAAGATAGACTCTTCTACAAGTACTAGCTTTTAATCGTCTTATCGTCAAAGTCAAACTATCTAAAATTAGACTAAAATTTTCACACGACACGTCTCTAAGAACAATCGACGCAATCTGCAGCGAGATAACCAAATTCGTCCCACAATTTCCAAGCACAAGAACACTTCGTTCTTCCTACCACAGGCAAGAGGAATTACGAGGCAAGAAAGGACGGCGCTCACAATGTTGCGCCAGCTTAGAAATCAGAGCGTACGAATAGCGAAAGGAACGAGACGGGGCAGCATCTCCCTCGTATGCTCCTCTGCAAACTTTTTGCTTGTTTCCTTTACATCCTACAGGAATATCCGGCAAGAGAAAAAGGGAGAGTGCAAGCTTACGACGGAGAGCTAGGAGATATATAAAACATCTTCAAGCACAATTTGCCAGGCGGTAAGCGAGCTTTCAGTGGCTTTGACCTTTCGTCGCCGTCATGAAGATCTACCATTTTCTGCTTAGGTCAACCTAAAAGTGCTCTGAGAATGCGTCTCTTTGTACGGCTATATGATCCCGTGCGCAACGTTTGAGATCAGCAATCTCGATTTCCCTTTAATTCGTGATCGAATACAGGCAGATTGTAAGCGCATACATCTAAAAGCGGATATAGTGCAGCGTAAAATCGAACGTATTGAAAGCAGAACCAATATAGCCGTCAATCTCGTACTTCTTTCCAAAATATTCTTTTGGTCATCCTTTTATATAATGTTCTTCGATTGATATGGATTTGTTGTTATTGAAATAAGTAATAGGAAATTTAAGATGTAAAATATGACAATTTCTTTTCCGAATCCGTTTTATTATCGCGAAAATGTTTCCATAAACTGTTACCCTTTTTGCTCTCTTGTTTTTTTTTCTTTTACAATTGATGTAAATAAAATGTTTTTTCGCCTTCAAAAATTAGTCTTATATTGTATTTTAAGGAAAAAGGTTGTATAAAATAAAAAATTTTAAATTGTTGAAGCTAGTTGATGGAATAAAATGAGTGTGTGAATTTGGCAGATTTCAGCGATGCAGTACCTACATTTGAATACATGAATTTCAAATACTGTCATATTGTATATGGTTTTGGACCCATATATAACCGGATGTCCGCTAATTCTGCACGATATTTTGTAACTGATCTAAGATTTATTCAATGTATTCATATAACATTATAAAGAGAATTAAGAGAACAGTTAAAAAAGCTATTCTGGATATTCAATAGTATAATTATATATTGATAATTTTGTATTTTGTGTTTTATTTTGATAACCATTGGAAATGTCTAGATTAAAAATCAAAATGTATGTTTAGATTTAATGTAATTTTTTATTTTTGTAATATTGTTCAATTTTTATACAACCAGCGTTTGACTCGAATAGTCCTTTAATATTGTATTTAAAAAAATCAAAGACTACGAAGTCATTATAAGGATTTCTTAAAAAGTTATTGTAATCTCTGACAATGTAAAAGATTTTTTTGAACAGACGAAGGTTCACCAAAAATGTGAATGTATCCTATCGCGGGTGTACGAACCGAAGATAAATTCTATTTACGGGAGTCTCAATATACAAGTAGTTGCACTTTTGCACAAGTTGGTCGACGTGCCGTGTTACAGCTCAATTCTCCGTTTCTTTCTCTTGTTTTCT